AATCTGGGAAAGCCACTGACTATGGATAAGGAGCCACACAGGACTGTAAGATGGGAGGACCCTCATTTTGTAATAAGATGACATAGTGTGTTGTGCAATTATATCCTAATCTGTATCACCCGGTAGGCTTTTGGTAGACATCACAACGAAGACATACCAATAGCACACATTACGTAATTTGCATGAGCTGCATCACAACACCAAATGCCATATGACACATCATTTGCATGATGATGTCATGATGAGTGTGACTTCATTTTCTTCTCTTGCGCTCCTGTCCTGCTGCAGATAGACTTACAAAGCTGTTAATAAAGCAGTTGGTTATTAAGCATTCCCTACTTACAAGCAGCACTCCCTCAAAGCGTTGTTTTTTTTCATTATGCGAAGAGCCACCTCTGAACAAAGATGGAGGTATTTGGCAAAAGTCAGGCTGCGTGTGCTAAGAGCCTCAGAGAGGTTTGGCCAACAAGTCAGCTGAGCATCTTATCAATATATGGTCTGGGCACTATGGTCAGCTTGCCTTGCCACATGCTGATGCGTACCAGCTAATGTGCTTTCAGCCAGAGGTCCATGGCCCTCTCTTTCCACTCCACTCAGGAAGCTTACACAGGCCGCAGCTGTGAACTCCGTGTAGAATCTTTTGGAAGAAGCAAATTGTCCAGTTGAGCCCAACAAATGCATGCCTATAAATCAGTCCCTGGCATCTCCCTTTCTGTTTGTGTGATCACTCTCTAGCTCACACACACACACACACACACACACACACACACACACACATGACCCCGATGTTTGGGTGTCACCTGTGACCCCCTGGCAGATGGTGAAGGGAGGCCAACCCCTTTGCTCTGAAACAGTTGCGGCTGAGCCATCTGTCAAACCGCTCACGGCTCAGCTCTCTGCAGCTCCAGCTTGAAGCTCAGCATCCGCTAGGCTCCTGTTCAAGCTGCTGCAAGCTTCGTGCACGTGTTTGGTCTATCGATCCGCCCTGGAGGCTGCTTTTGCTGCTGATCCTCCCTTACACTGAGGAGCTGGCAGGTGCAGTGGGGGAGAGAGTACCGATAGAGTTGGGACTAATACTTCTAACACCATTTTCTTGAACTTGGGCTCTCTTCCGGATTGTGTCCTAAGTCCGCTGTTGTTCACCCTGTTGATCAATGACTGTTGTGCCCCGAACCATATTGTGAAGCGTGCAGATGATACAGCAGAAGCGGGCCTTATTGAGGATGACAATAAGAGTGCTTATGCTAAGGAGGTAGAGGGTTTGGTGAACTGCAGAGGTGGTATTCAGCAGGTTCTGACCAGTTCTGGGGAATCGATAGCGGAAATTTTGAGTAGTTTGGAGAACCGGCAAATACCCCCTCCAACTGGCCCTGCCCCCATCTATTCTCTGCCTCCCGAGTCCCAGCTGATCGGCCGGGTCTTCTTTTGTTGCCCTGCATAGGAGAACAGAGCTGGAAAGCAGGTTAGTGGGGTGGGGAGGGAATGGAGATTTTACAGTATCCTTCCACTGCCACGCCCACCAAACCATGCCCATCAAGCCATGCCCACAGAACCAGTAGTAAAAATATTTGAATCCCACCACTGGTGGACTGGTGTAATAAAAACAGCCTCCTTTTAAACATAGGGAAAAACTAAAGAAATCATTGTCAATTTCAGAAAAGGCAGGCACAGCCACACACCTCAGTGTATTAGTGATTCACCTGTGGAGGTGGTTAGCAGCATCAAGTTTCTGGGTGTGTAGCTAATGAGTAGGCTAGCTTGGTCGCTGGTGAAGAGGGCACAGCAGCGCCTGCATTTTCTGCATTGCTTGAGAAAACTACAACTTCCTTCCCCTGTCCTTGCCACTTTCTATAGAGGGACGATCGAGAGCATCCTGTCATATTGCATTACAGGCTGGTTTGGAAGAATTACTGCTTCAGACAGGAAGGTGGTACAGACAGTGGTGAGGATGGCAGAGAAGATTATTGGAAGTTCACTTCTGTCTATCTGGGACATGGCATATAAGCATTGCTTGATCAGGGTCTGCAATATTGTCTGGGACACTGCACATCCTCTTCATGACCTGTTTTCCTTTTTATCTTCTATAAGGAGGCCTTGTGGTTTCTGAAGCAGAACATCTAGATTCAGTCACAATTTTGTTCCGTATAGCATCGACCTTGTGAACGCTCAAGTTTCCTCCTCCTGCTGTGTATACATTCAAAATGGAAGTGATACAGTATATAGTGCATTCACAGTAAAAAAAAATCACAATAAAAACATACAACGAACGGTCACAGGAACTGGGCTTGGCTAGCGTAGTAAAGAGAAGGACCAGGGGAGACATGATAGCGGTCTTCCAATATTTGAAGGGCAGCCACAGGGAGGAGGGGGTCAAGCTATTTTCTAAAGCTCCTATAGGCCAGATAAGGAATAATGGATGGAAACTGAACAAGGAGAGGTTTAACCTGGAAACAAGGAGAAACTTTCTGACAGTGAGAACAATCAACCAATGGAACAGCTTGCCCTTGGAAGTTGTGGGAGCGCCATCAGTTGAGACCTTCAAGAAGAGATTGGACTGCCATTTGTCAGAAAAGGTGTAGGGTCTCCCGCTTGGGTGGGGTTGGACTAGATGACCTACAAGGTTTCTTCCAACTCTATCTGTTTGATCTGTTAATTTATCATCTTATTTCATCTTATCTTCTCATCTTATCTTGTCATTTTATCTTATCATCTTATCATTTTGTCCTATCTTATCTCATCTCATCTTATCTCATTTTGCCTTGTCTTGTCTTGCCTTACCTTTCCTTATATCTTATTGTCTTGTCTTATCTTGTCTTATTTTATCCCATATCTTACCTATATCTTATCTTGTATCTTATCTTGTATCTTAACTCATCCCAAAATGTTTGCAGAACCTCTGTCTAAGATAAGGTAAGGCAAGATAGATGAGATATCTATCTTGCCTTCCCTTATCTTCTCTTATTTTAGACAGAGGTTCTGGAAGCACTTTGGGATGGTGGATCAGTGGGCCACTCTAAACAAGCTCAAAGCAGGTTGTTGCAAACACCCAGAACTGGGCTAATATCCTGGGCTGATGTTGCTAAATTAGCAAAGGATAGCAGCTTTAGTTGTAATTAAAATTTATGGGGAGGGTGGACTCCATTTCTTCAGTAGTCCAGGGACTCGTGATTAAGGTTGCAGTCTTTTGTGCATTTATTTGGGAGAACATCATATTGAACAGAGTGATCCAGTTCAATTCACTGATGAGGCCATACTTGGAATAACGTGTCCTATTCTGCTCACCTTGATACAAAAAAGGAACTGAAAGATTGCAAAGAGGAAAAAAGGTGATTAGGGGATGGGAGGTTAAACCATATAATGAATGTTTGAGGGAATTTAATGAAGAGAAAGACTAAGGGTGATATGACAGCAGTCTTCTATCTCCAAAGCAACAGAGGAGGTCAATGTATTCTCCAAAACAACTGAAGACAGGACAAGAAGTTACAAGTGGAAGATCATTAAAGCAAAATCCAACCTAGAACTAAGGAGAAATTTCCTGAAAATCAGAACAATAAATCAGGGGAACTCCAGAAATTGTGCATGAGTCCATCACTGGAGGTTTTCAAGAAAAGAATCTATAGATTTTGGTTTCACTCATTTCCTTAGTTTCCGTTCTTATATCAGTTTTGTTCCACTTTTTTATTAGCCTGATTTTTAAAAATAAAAATAAAGCTTGCATTGTAGATTAGCGTTAATGTCTGTTTCCCCTACTATAGGGTTTTTCATTTACAATAATGCCTCATTGCCTCATGTCCACAGATTTACAGTTTTCCCAAATGTAGTTCAACTTGGCAAATAATTGTAGTGCAGGTTTACATATATTATTGTATTGTTAGGGTATGGTTATACAAACAGCCAGGCGGTTAGGCTGGATTTGGCATTTTTGTCCACCTATCAAGTCTTTCCCAAGAACTTGGGTTAGCCAGGTGTTGTTGTTTGATGGTATTAAAAGTATCATGACAGGATGCATTATTATTATTAAGCAACTTTATTGCAAAATTCTGACAAGGTATGAAATTCGAAAGTTAACCCTGTTTTGGTTTTGTATTGATCTAAAAATCTGAAATTAAACAAGTTAAAACTAAAAGTCTATTGTGAGTGAATTTATCCTCAATAATTATTTTCAGCTACCTGATAATGACTTAAATTCTCAGAACCCAATGTGCTGGCAAACTTTTGTTTGAAAATTTCTGCTTAGAACTTTATTTGTTCTATTAGCTCAGTAGGAATGACAGGCAGTTTCAGAAATAGAAACTCATAAATCTTTGGCTTTTGAACTGAAACAGATCTCTGAAGATCAGTGACATATTTATCTTTCCTGAGTTTAGACCTGGAGTGCCATAAAATCAATCAAACAGGACACAGGTTTCACCGTATCAAATGTGAATTTATTGGACATTTTATCAAGTTTCAATTGAATGTTATAATTCAATTACCAGATTCAGAAAGAAAAGCTGAAGAAACTGTAGAGCTGCAAGATATGCATATCTCCTGAAAAAATATATATAATATCACTACTGGGGATAAGAGTTAATGGAAACATCATAATGGCTGTTTTAAAAAATAAGTTACTCAAATACAGATTTATTAACCCAATCATACAGATGCATTATATTATTAATATATAATATTTTGAATCTTATTACATATATATTTTTCCATCATCCTTTTACAACTTCACAACAGCCCTGTGAGGTAGGTAGGAGACCATTTTCTCCATATGACCAATCAAAGGCCTGAAAAATGGTGGTTTAGTCAAAGACTAGTCACTTGGTCCATGGCTCAGAAACATTTTGAACACAAATGTTAAGCTTTTAGTGCAATTTCTTAGTTTTCTGAATTTTAATGCTGCTTAGAGGCTGGCCAGCATAAGGGAATGAATTCAAAGAACCCTGGACAATTAAATGTGTGCCAGTTTCTGTGACATGGGAGAATTGGTTTTGTTTTTTTAAGCAATATACCAAAAAAGAAATCAGAGACCAACCCAATGGATCAGAAATAGGAAATTAAGTACCATTCTTAAAGATTCTGTTTTGATATTTCACATAGTTATACTAAATACTGGTTTAGATTCTCTTCCCCTTCTTGTCCCCACTTCTGAATAGTTTCCGGAGTAGCTACTCTTGCTAAACAGCGTGTGAATGAATAAGTAAATGAATGAAATGTGTGTGTGTGTGTGTGTGTTGTGTATATGTGTGTGTGCATACACACACACATACGTTCCACTTATTGCAAAGTTTCTTCATTCTTTTTTGCTTAAATAGAAAGCTGGTTTATTTCAAGAAAAAGACAATGGCAGGTAATTTTAGAAATGTTTTTAAATGTGGAGCTGCCAGCTTGCGGTTGTTTGTTTTTTTCAAAATCAAACATGATTTCATTTTCCATTCTGTTTTTACTTTAAGTGAAATATGCGTCATCTCCAGAAAAAAGTTACTTAGTATCTATGCCTGCCAGCTGAACTTAGTTTGCCAAAGACTTGTAGATTTATAATCTCTTTTCACTATGGCCCATTCCAGCTATCATGAATACAACATTAAAAGATCAAAGAACACATACAATATTCAGCAGTTGTAAAATGGCATGAAGAGAGATTAACATTGGATGTTCTGTGGATTGTTTCTGGGTCTTTCAAGAGGGTTTTTTTAAAATATTGCAACCTCATGAGGTAGCCACATAAGCTGTGGCAATATACTTTTTGCCATTGCCATAAGTGGATTTATCCCAAGTATACGTTTGGATATCCAGATTGTGGCCTCCAATTTTCAGATGACACCTGAAGGATAGAAAATTGGTGCATAATCATCTTTTGTAAATAAAAGCTCTAGATAATTATTTGGAATAGATTACAATGGAGTCAAATTGCTAGCTGAATCAAGCCTTGCAACAATTTCACCTTTTCTCTGTAGCACCACCTTTATGAATGTTGTCTGTTTTGCCACTTGGAAACCTCTCAGGGATGGGCTGCTGGGGGTTCGCAGGCGTTCGGGAGCTAAGATTCTGCACAGTTCGGACAACCCACAAATCCTACCCCGGGCTGGCCCTCACCACCCTGCCCTCCCCTCCCAGGAGTCCCCATGCGGCCTGTTTTGGATGCAGGTAAGTGCTAGGCAAAAAACGGGCCTCCCAGAAGTTTGGAAGGCCAGAAATGGGCCCGTTTCCAGCTTCCAGAGAGCCTCCGGAGTCCAAGGAGGGCAAAAACGCCCCCCCCCCCACTGTGGTGCAGAAGGGCAACTAGGCTACACCCCAGTGGTGGGATTCAAAAAAATTTACTACCGGTTCTGTGGGCGTGGCTTGGTGGGTGTGGCAGAGGAAGGATACTGTAAAATCTCCAGTCAGAGGTGGAATTTGCCGGTTCTCCTAACTATTCAAAATGTCCGCTACCGGTTCTCCAGAACTGGTCAGAGAACCTGCTGAATACCACCTCTGCTACACCCACCATGGCTACGGCCAACCAGCAACAGGGCAGGGAACCCGTGCCAAAATTTGAAACTCACCCCTGAAACCTCTTCATGAAAAGTTCAGAAGATATCCCATGAATAGGATTGTTTATGGAACAACCTTAATAAACTGCTTGAATAAACTGATGTGACTCATGCCTTAAGGCTGCTAAATTCTGCAAGGAGTTATTGTATGTGCTACTCCTAAATGGTGAAAGTTACTTGCCTGAGCATTACTGGAAAAATTCAGAACTTTTAGTCTACCTATCTTGAGATGTTTCAATGGCCATTACTTTGCTCAGGCTTTAATGTGGGGGCTATGTCTTATTGCTATCTATTGACTTAGATAGCTAAATAAAACCTTTGTCTTCAAAAGTGGCAGACTTTTTGATATCAGATGTTAGGGAGTGTATAGTCAATGCTGTTTCATTCCTAGCTTGTCAGCTCTGTTTCTGAAAACAATTGAGTGGATTGTAGTTTTCATTTCACTTGGAAAGAATGATCCAATTTCATTCAGACTGTGAATAATTTCACTTTTGATACATAGAAAGTAGCACATTAAAAACATGCATTGACTTCCAGACCATCCTTTATTGGCACTGCATCTTCCCATTTTAACTGCCGTGAAAATAACTCTTGGCCCTAACAACATACTTACACTTTTCCAGGCCGAGCAATGAAACACAGGGAATAGAGTCCAAATTCAAATTCAGGACTGCTTCCAATAAAAGTACTTCCAACCTGTTTGTAAAATCCATCAAAGTTGAATTGCATTCCCAACACATCTGGATAGGAGGTCCACTAAAGAGAGGGAAGAAAAAAAAATGATGCTGGAAATTTTTCAAGAGCTTTGATCTACAGTGTTTGCCACAAAAAAATGTTTCCAGGAAGAATTTTGCATTGTGAAGCCATACAAATCACAAATTCTAATATCCAGCTCGATGAGATATGACTATTTGTGAAGATTAGTGAACGTAAGAGGGATACCGTGTTCTATCAGCAGTGTGAGGCAAAGAAAATACATTGGTGCTTCTTTTGTGAAAAGGGAGAAACAGATTTGTCATATGGCAAGTAGGGTTCAGTGTTTGTTCCACATAAACCTCCCACATTAAGGTGATCAGTGGGGCCACCAGTGTTGTTTTTTAGATTCTTGAAAGAAAAGTACACTCCTTCTATTGGAGATTATTGTCCTCATTCAATGGGCATACAACTTCTGGCTGCACACGGAATAGGGAGGGAAGAAGGGGACACCCACCTAGCCAACCAGGTAAATCAAATCAACCCTGGTAATCAATGGGGTGACAAATGTCATGGCAGTGATTAAAATAAATCACATGATGGCCTATGCCTAAACCAGCCCAAGAAAAGGCTCAATAGAGAAAAGTTCCTAAACTCTTCTCAACCTTCTAACTCTCAGTCCGCCCCTGCTTGGCTCAGAATCCAACATAGAGTTCCAACATAGTCAATGGATATTAACATGTCGCCATGGCCAAGGCTACCATTAGATGGAGGTAACAACCTGAACATGGATCAAAGTAGTTATTTAAACATATTTCAAGTGTATGAGAGTGTGTATAAGGACACACAGTCATATATACAGGGGCAGATATATTTGTAGGTGTATCTGCCTATCAAAATAACATAGCCAAGCATTAGACCTGGACTTGGGGACGTGGGATGCCATTTATGAAAATATCTCAGCTTCAGAAAAATGTTTTGGGCTAGAGTCCCACAAGTGACTGACATCCTAATACCCAACATGTTCAAGCTTCTTGCAATCCTCTAGAAATCATCCCATGCCAAGATATCGTCTGGTCTTGTCTCACCAACTGGCAGTGCTAGGTGGCAGGCTAACACAGTGTTTGCCAAAAAGAAGGCTCCAGTGGAAGCTCCCAATTGGTCTGGCTGCTCCAACTCTGATCCAATAGCAGGGGAGAAGAGATCAGATGGGCTGGGGAAAGCCATGGTGCTTGGTGCAGAAAGATGAAATGTGACCTAGTCTCTGAAAAGGGGGACTTGAAAAGGCTGGTGCGGTGGGAGAAGGAAGGAAAGAAGGGAGGGAGGGGTGGTACTGTTTTTCCCTTAGAGAAAAATCAAACCATTGCTTCTCCGAGAAAGAGAAATTGCTGCTGTGTCCCAGACGCTCCTAGAACAAGAGGGTGCATTAGTGTGTCATATAGGAGAAGAGGAAATGAATGAAGGCCCCAGTGTTGTTAGTCTTAAAGAGCCCATTCTGCATTACTAAGAGAAGAGGGAGACCAGAAAGAAGCATCTAAGTTGGACTTAACTCCTGGCAATTCCTGCAGGCTCGAATCCAGTCAAAGACTATTTTTGTGACATTGTATGTACCCAGGATGTGCCATCCATCACAACTGGATAATTATGTACAAGTTGTTTCCTTTTCTTTCTTCTTCTCTCTCTTTTGAACCACCGTTGTTAATAATGCATTTTCTGCAGTCTGTTTTTTTTTTGGGGGGGGGCGCAGGCAGTCTACTTTCCCCAAACCACACATCTCCCTGCTAATCATGCTGAGATACACATCTGTATATCAGCAACATTGGGCTACAGTCTGAGAAACCTTGCACCCCCAAAATAGGAGCTAATTGTTAATATACTAGGAGCCAGTGGTTAGAGTGCAATACTGCAAGCTACTTCTGCTGACTGCCGGCTGCCTGCAATTTGGCAGATCAAATCTTACCAGGCTCGAGATTGACTCAGTCTTTCATCGTTCCCAGGTGGGTAAAATGAGGACCCAAATTGTTGGGTGCAATAGGCTGACTCTGTAAAACCGCTTAGAGAGGGCTGTAAAGCACTATAAAGTGGTATATAAGTCTAAGTGCTATTGCTATTGCTATACTGTAAGAATCTTTCATGCCTTTATTGCAATAGGGTTTTTTAAAGGACTTTTCTTATATTAATGTTGACATAATTTTTATACTGTTGTTCCATTTGAAACAAATTCAGGGGATCCTGCCTTTGTCTTCATAAAATACTAAAAAAAGAAGAAACCTGCAAGATACCTTGTTAATGAAATGCTCTTCTCTAGATAGATGGTGATAGATGATAGATAAATGATAGATAGATAGATGATAGATGATAGATAGATAGATGATAGATAGATAGATAGATAGATAGATAGATAGATAGATAGATAGATAATAGATAGATAGATAGATAGATAGATAGATAGATAGATAGATGATAGATAGACAGATGATAGATAGATAGATAGATAGATGATAGATAGATAGATAGATAGATAGATAGATAGATAGATAGATAGATAGACAGAAAGACAGACAGATAGATATAGACGATAGATAGATGATAGATAGATAGATAGATAGATAGATAGATAGATAGATAGATAGACAGACTAGATAAATAGACAGATAGATAGATAGATAGACAGACTAGATAAATAGACAGACAGATAGATAGATAGACGATAGATAGATAGATGATAGATAGATAGATAGATGATAGATAGATAGATGATACAGACAGATAGATAGATAGACGATAGATAGATAGATGATAGATAATAGATAGATAGATAGATAGATAGATAGATAGATAGATAGATAGATAGATAGATACATAGATAGATAGATAGATATAGAGAGATAGAGAGATAGATAGATAGATAGATAGATGATAGATAGATGATAGATAGGTAGATAGGTAGGTGGATAGATAGATAGATCGATAGCTAGATAGACGATAGATAGATAGATAGATAGATAGATAGATAGATAGATAGATAGACAGACAGATAGACAACAGATAGATAGATAGATAGATAGATAGATAGATAATAGATAGATAGATAGATAGATAGATAGATAGATAGATAGATAGACGATAGATAGATAGATAGATAGATTTTATTTTTTATTTTTATTTTATTTTTCAATTGTTTACAAGATAATAAGTATAAGTGTATACATAGTTATGAATACATGAAATGGGTACATATAAGAAAAATAAAAGAAAAATAAAAGAAACAATAGGACAGGGACGGTAGGCACGTTGGTGCGCTTATGCACGCCCCCTACAGACCTCTTAGGAAAGGGGTGAGGTCAATAGTAGACAGTCTAAGGTTAAAGTTTTTGGGGTTTGGGGAATAGATAGATAGATAGATAGATAGAT